ATATTAAAATAATTAGCTCGATTGATCATTAACATTTAATATCGACTGACATTTAATCTTATCCTGAAGGGAATCAAGTTTCGAATTAAATTTCCTTTCGTACGCTATTTCATATTTTAACATGCAGCAAAGAACAATTGTTTCTTTTTACTTTAATACTCGCAGTTTCTCTGAAGCAGAAAAATCCTCCGATCGTATTGTGAAACTGTAGATACATTTCGTATACACAGTAGCTTTGCCTTTTAATTTTTAGTGCACGGCAGTTCCAGCAATTTTCCCCCCGCGTGCGTCATTCACCCTCGGGTCCAATAAACGGCGCGCTTTACGAGCAGCGCTAATTTCGCAACCAGTAGCTGCGCTACTAGAGGTGGCTATAGCCATGAACGCATTTAGTTCTGGGTCACATCTGAGTGCATCTGGCCCCCCCCCCTCTGCCTTCATCTGTTCCCCTCACTCTTCTGTTCTCCCTCCGAAAGCACGAGTGCTGCATAGTGCGATTTTTGTGAGCGCGAAATCGTCATTTCCAAACGATGGAAGTGAACGCCCCTTCATCGTTTCTTCGTCGTCGGCCGCGCTTTTTCAGACCGATTAGCAATTACCCGCCAAGACCGAGAGGCCGACTCGGTGCGCCTTTACTCGCGATATAAAAGCCGCGGCGCTCGGATACGCGATTTGCGCAACCCCGCGGCCAAACACGACTCCGTTGCATTTCTCGCAAGTGCAGTGTATAGTCCGCCCGCGGAACCAACCCCGCGCGCGTGGACGTGGATACGTCGTGCGGTGGAATCGTTGCAAAACCAGGAAAGTTTAACGATTCTCATTATTTTGTTACGTCTCACGCTTGCTCCGTTCGGATCAGATGAACAACAGAGAGAGGAAACGAGAGAGAGAGAGAGAGAGAGAGAGAGAGGAACGGAGATGGACGCGTGTTTGCCCGATGCAGTGGGCCGCGCGCGCGAGAAATATTAATGCAGCCAACGCTCACGTTGCATCGCGCACAGCAATGCCCGGGGGAGTATTCGCGAACGAGACCTTTAAAACAAGCCGCTAAATATTTCAGAAACATGATATCAACATATCGGAAAGGGAGAAACAATAAATTTATATTTATCGACAATTCATTCAATTTTTTATATAACAATACGTAAACACGAGTAGAGCTGTAAAGCGATATTTAAAAAAAAAAGATAAATAATAGACAAGCAAAAGTATGTGAATATAATAACACGAAAATATGTCGCCGCGCATTTTTTTACCTAATCGTGTATAATTTTCATGCGATTACGTTATATTGCGCGATTTCTTATTAGCACCGTGCAGGTGCAATCTGTGCAATTTGATTAGATAATTGACACACGCGGATAAAATCTACAAAAAAATCGAAAATTCACGTTCCCCGTTCGCTTATGCACCACTGCGCCGCTGTTCGAACGCGCTTTCCCCCGCGGAAAACGCGTATTGCTGCAATTTGTGCATCGCTGCACTCGATAAACCGATCTCCCGCGGTACGAAACAGTTCTCGCTTGTAATGCATAATACGTTAATCGGATCATTATGTCCTCCACACGTTTCATCTTTTATTACTACTACTTGCTTTTTCGATTCGCACAACAGATAAAAATATTTGTTTAAAAAAGAGATAGAATAAATGTCAGCGTACAAAAAACATCCGAAAATCGAGAATTGGGAAATTTATGCTAGCCCTTAACGTTAACCTTATGAGCAACTTTATGTCGTTCTCTTATGCACTTTTTCTGAAGAATGAGCATACGTTTAGGTAAAAAGGCAAAAACTACAAACTCTTTCCGGACACCGCAATAGCGGCAATTACGCGATATAGCAGCTAATTATCTATTCTCGTCCATTATCTCTTCCTGCGCGCCGACAGTCAATCGCGAAAACGCAGTCGGCTGACAAGGCATAACTCTAAATAAAGTGAATGTCGCAATTCGCGGCAAATAGACGCGCGAATCATCGGGTGAATCATCCCATCGGCGAGTCACGATTTACGCGTCCGACCATGAAAACCGAGATTGAAACGGTCTAGCGAGTGAACGAAATAGACAAACGAATACGCGAATATACGCGAAGATATCGCGCTAAATCTTTTCCTCGTTCCTCCAATTTTCGCGGATGCAATCTCAGTGCAATGGATATTCGAATATATCGCTCGTTATTAACCGCCGCATTTACCGACGTTCTTGTGTAATGTTGCATTGTGTTCCCTTTGTAGAAACGCGACTGTGCTATTGCGCAGAGAAGCGATTTCGCACGATAGCGCGAACGCGATCGTGCACCAAGAACGCGCGGGAATACGCGCGAATAATCGCTGATGAGAAAAAAATCATTTAGACAGGTGAGACCTCTTTTACGTAAGATTGATATTACATAAAGTACTTTCATTGTAAACGATCACAATGAAAAAACGGAGATTCATCACTTTTAATTGAGTTTAAATTGTACACGATTTAAATTCATATACAGCAGAAAATAGAAAGCACATACACATATACATATATATATATATTTTTTTTTATTTATTGTACGTATATCTTAAATTTTGTTGCGGTGAATGTTATATTGATTTTTAAATTGTAAAGATAAATTGGTACATATTATATATATATATGTATATAAAATTTTCAATTTTTATTTAAAAAAAACTAATAACGAAATACTGTTTGTTCTTCATGAAGTTCACCACGAAATTTACTTTGCCTATATCTCATAAAATCTTCGAAAAAAGTAGATAGTAAAAAGACTATTTTTATCGCAGATAATGATTGTAGCAGATTATTCAGGGCTTTAGTGCTGAAAGAAAGGTGATTACAAACGCTGAAATTAATGAAGAACGGTAATCATCCCGAGCGCGATTTCATTATGCGGCCAGTTGTTCAGAATAATGTTTAATGAAATGAGGTCAGGGCAAATTATCGTAAATTTTTAAAAATCGTAATGTTGTAAGAAAAGAAATTAAGCAATTGTCAATAAATTTATATAATCGCAAATATATGTATATGCTTAAATCAATAATTAATACTGGCAAATCGACGATAAATAAATGTAAATAATAATTAATACTTATTTGATATATATTATTAATTAATTAATAATTAATAAATAATAATTATATAAAATACATATGAATAAATAAGAGTAATGATTGCATCAATTCGATCTTCAATAAAGACCTCTAAATTCCAGCTGCATAATCGTATACAATATTTTTAGATATAAGGAATGAACAGTTATAAAAAAATCTTCAAATGCATTCGCTAAATCGTGATCTTGATCGATCGACCGGAATGCCAATTGATGACTCGTTTTCATCAAACGCAACGTGCAATGTCGATCAGTTTTTATGTCTGCCGAGCCAAGACAACTGCTCCATATTCCCATCCAAGGATGGCCATTAAAAGAATCTTAAACTTCGCTAAAAACTCTCAAGAATCTTACAAACTTTTGCACTCAATTTATAATTAATACAAGACTTTTAGAGATAAAAAAGTAGGAGAGAGAGAAGATCATTCTCTCTCTATAAAACTTATAAGTATACTATATGTAAACATTAAAAATCAGATATATAACGTAGAAGGCAGACGTTTAAAAATATAAAAAAATATTTATTAAAAACACAAATTAATATTAATATGTCAATGGAATTACGTTCTCTCAAATTTTCTTTCCGTCCAATTTTCAAAATCGTTCGACCGAATCTCGTCAACGATTCCTCGCGTCCATCCATTTTTTTCGATCAGATATAATAATTACGCTGATTCTTCTTCTTCCGCTCCGGGACATCCGCTTCGCCTTCGCGAACATAATTAAATGATTAAAGCTTGACCAGGTTTGAGGGCGTAGCCGCCCCCGGGCGGCGTGGAAGTTTACTTTCTAGGCGAGAGTGACTCTGTCGCATTCGCTCGCGTTCCTCGCAGATATGGGAATCCACGTTAGCCGTCGGGGATCGTGGCGCAATTGCCATCCTTGGACGCGAATCTAGAGCAACACGCTCGACGTGCTCGACGTGCTGGAAACTGACCTGACTTATCGGCTTGGGAGACCGTAATCCCGATCGATGGATCAAACGAAATTTTATACATATACATATATATGTGTAAATATTAGAAACGAAATATTATTAGATTCATAGTATTCTTGTTGCATATATTTTATAATAAATCGATATTTATAAATAAAATAATTTATATATTTCCTCAGTAAGGAAAACAAAAGAAAATCTTTCAGTTCAGAGGTTTCTGTGCGATTATTATCGCAGGTGATTGATACAGACACGATACAGAAGCGTGTAAGAACGCGAAAGACACGAGTCAGTCCAATTCTCGAATAATAGAAGCCATAAATCTTCGTCTTCGAGAACACAAAGTATGTCTGAATGAAAAAGCTTCGCGGAATGACAACACTATTTGTAAGCAAACCGGGGTCAAGATAATTCAATAAATTATCAATGTCCTCGTTCGACTCTTTATAATTTAAAAAAACGGCCAGCAGTTCCGCAAATTGGAGGACGATCGAGAATGACCAGACAAGCCCGTTTCAAACGACCTATAATATCAAACTGAATTCCATACATTTTTTCTTTATGCATATAATTAATTATATGATCAAAATTCCAATTAAATTTGACAATCATATCGGAAAGGGGTAGGTTTAATTATTCCGCCGCGAATTGTAAGAGATCTAGAATGGAATTCAGCGCGCCCGAGTGACATCTAATTGCGCCAGAATGTCCAGCAATGACTTTGAGAGCGACAAACATGGGAAAATGATGCTTCTTATTCGCGCGAAATAACACGTTCTCCATGTGACGAAATGGGTGGTGCTATCCAATACCCTTCACTCGCGGAGTACTTCGAATCGCGCGCCGTGCAAATGACAGCGATTTATTGCGAGCGCTATTCACTCGCGTGGAGAAACATTACCGCACCGTGCAATCCATCCACGCTCTGTAAAAATAAAATACGAGAGCCAGGGAAATGCAAACCTGACCTTATTCTAATCAATATCGAAGTTCGAGCGGGATATAAAAATTTTATGAAATTCGCTGAATTTTATCCGGTAATTTCATAATAATTAACAACAACAATGTACAGAAAATGTGCAGGTGGATAATTTTCCCTTAATTCTGACAATTATTTATTACAATCGAATTTTATTTTTAATATGTTTTTGCATACATTTATACGACGGGGATTATTTATACGGGAACAAAAGTGCTAATGACGCGGAAATACCGTATATGAAAATATGAAAGCACGGTCCCGAAAATGCGCAGCCAAGTGCAACGGAACATCATAATTCTCACGGAAGTGATTTATTTCGCATTTTCTGCGAGCCCCATCGCTATACGAAACGCATTCGCGAGCGATCACATGATGTATAAGCTAAAACTGTATGTACAAGCTGGACGCGCGTGCACACACACACACACACACACACGTGCAAACTTTCCTCGCGAAAGCGTGGCGTTGGCGATCGAAAGAGAACCGTATTACCCGTATCCCGGAAGAAAACGTGTGCCGTCGATTACCGCAATCCAGAAGCGCGTCGTAAAAGTCATTAAACAGTTCGTAACCAAATTGCGTCGTTCTCTCCGCCACCACCCCGCCCCGAGTCGACCCACGTACATACATACGAGATATATCTAGCAAGAGCATTATGCATACCGCGTTTCCTGCATTCGAAAAATCATGCCGCGAAAGGGATAAGAACCGACGTGTTATTACACGTCGCTAATCTTCCTGTCGGGCGCTTTTGCAGATTGATAATTATTATCGGGTTCGGCTGCGATATTGCCGCGGTAACGGTTTCAACGCGATACGATACAGATATGTAGAAAACGTAACTGGCCTATTACCATTACATTCTAACGACATTATAACGTTTCTATATATTTCTATAAGATACAGTTAACATATTGATAAATTCTAAGGATATAAGGAATGTCATTAGCACATTCCTTATTCGCGCGCTTCGAGGTACTTCGACGCGAGTGAAGGGTATAATACATTTCGTAATCTGTAATCATGTTAATCGATAACTACGGGCGATAAGAGATCTCTTCCCTTTTGTACATTTCGCTGTTAAATTTAATCATTATTAAAAGTTGCGATCTGAAAGAAAGGAAGATTCCTTGTAATTTTCAGTTAGAGTATTAGAAATTCGGGAGAGATTATGTCGGAGAGATATAAACCAGAGATAGAGCAGAGGAATCTCCTTTCTATTGGCACGAGGCCCGGGTTGCAAAACGATCGTGTCGCCGTGGCGCCGGATAACGCGATCCGTATAGCAACACGTTTTTCAGAACAACTATTATTTTTGGAAAGTAGCCACAACACACACCTCCTTTCTTAACGTATTCCCGCGGCGGGAATTTCTACGTCACGGAAACCGCGCGGCGATGTTTAAAGAGAACCCGAAGGGGGAACGTTTACCTACATGACCGATCTCTCGCTGTAACCGCCGGACGTACGCATGATTTATTCCCGACAAACCGCGAGATCGACATGGACTTTTCAGATATTCGCGCGCTACAGCGCGAATGAGATCGATAAATAATTCTCGCTTTAAGCTCCTCGGTTCCTGAAAGCTTCAAATTATATTAAGTATTTATTAATGTTAATATATGATTTCGGTATTAAATCCATTTTTAGGCGATTCATAAATCACGTTAGAATTTTTAGAATGGCTATTATTAATAATTCTATTTAATTCTAAACAATTCTATATAATTTTATGTGTCGTGCAAGAAAAAAATAAAAGAATCAGACTGCATAATAAAATGTATAATAAGATACATACATGTATCTTACACATGGCGCGTATAAAATTATAAATAGAATTTTGTAATAGTAGGTACAATCTTAAAATCTGACGCGATTGTACATCGTCTAAGCTTATCTAATAAAGATATCTATCTTTTTTACGAAATAAAAGCAAGAGATCTTAAGATCTAATCATAAAATCCTTTGTATTATATGTAAACGGTCTATTTTTATTCTTATTTTTCAATACAATACAAGAAGTATTTAAAGAATCAGAATGCATACGCATATAAAAAAATGTAATAAAAGGCACGCATGCATTAAAATATGTATATGGCGTGTAAAATTATAAATAGAATTCTATAGAATAAAATCTTGAAATCTGACGCGAATCATAGATCATCTAAACTCTAAAGCTTTAATCTAATAAAAATATCTCTTTCTTTTATCAAGCAAAAACAATTATGATCAACTCATAAAATCCTTTATATTATAATTATGATCGGTCTTCAGCTTTATTTTTTAATATGTCTCAATTAACAAATAGTCCTAATTCTGAACAAGAAATAGAAATCCAATGTTATTAAGCCATTTATTCGTCTTCACTTTTATAATCGCCACATTCAGAGAGAGGAGAAAATAAGGTGATTAATTAAACGAATGCGTAACCGCCAATCAAATCTGAAGTAATTAGCCAAGGAAATCGTAATAGCGTCAACGCTCCTCCGCAGTTACATAAACATTTTTGCCATTAACATTCATCATGTAACATTCTATCTATATTTGAACGCACATTTGAAATATCTTAAAAATGTGTTTATAGGAAATATACGACCGCTCATGCAAGTAGCCCAAGATAACTTATTATCATACTAATTGTCTCTTTGCAATCGCGCCACACGCTGACAGGTTTCCTGCCGTCCTTTTACACGTCCTTTCTCTTATTATTTACTACTAGCAGATTTTATATTTTAACATATATTAAACGCCACGCCTACTTTTGCTACGAGATCTCTCGATCTCGATAAACAGACGATTATAATTAATAAAACGAACAAACAGAATACAAATATAATAATTATATATCTATTGCACAAATCGGCATCTTTAGCTATATTCGTAAACAACAGAACAAACAAGATTGCAATCGCCAATCGGCATTTATAAAAGTGTTTGTAATAAAAACAAATAAATAATTATACAGTTCTCCGAAAAACAGATTTGTAATATCCCCTACCTTCGTCATTTTACACGAATGTCGAACACTCTGATCCCCGCGTTCCCCGCACAGGCCGCACATGTCGAGCAGCCGAGTTACGATTACATAATGAGAAAACGGGACTGCCCGCGCTCTCTGGTGATGTCGATTCGTACCAATTGGTCGCCGACAGAGGGTACAATTGGTACGTTATACAAGAAAATCTAATAATAACACGTATATATATTACATATTATAATAACAGATATGCGTATGTACTAAATTATCAAATGGTTTTACCTTTTTTACTATTAAAAAAAAAAAGAAGACAAACATAATAAAAAAAAAAAAAAAACAATATACTAAACTTTTGTTAATTGAACAAATTCTGTTTACGATGTCTGACGATATTATATTATACATATAAGTAGCAATATTTATCAAGATAAATCCATGCTTTTGTATTTTTTTTATAATAAAAAAAAGAATAACAACAGACTGTAAAAAAGAGAAAAGAAAACTGTATATAGTAGCAAGGAAGATAAGATTAATTAAATAAAATGATAAAGACTGATGTGCTATCTTCTCTCTCTCTCTTACTCTCTCTCTCTCTCTCTCTCTCTCTCTCTCTCAAGTCAGTCCGGATGTAACTCTCCGCGAGAGGTCTCCACAATTTCTCCTTATTATTTTATATACATATACAATGTATATAAGAATTGATACTATTGATAGATATATGTATATATATATGATTTAGGTTATGAAGTCATGTATTCTGGCAAATCTAGTATCATTGCGTAGCGCTCGTTGATAATGACGTTTAATAGCTCGAGCGTCCGTTTAACGACAAGTATATCGGCGTGAAGGAATCGCCCAATAAAGGGCGACATCCGTCGTTAAATCACGCGGCTCGACGGGACTGGACGGGAAAATTTTATACGCTCGCCGCCTCCGCTATGCGACAGTACACACATTGATGATCGAACGAGGACGTGCAAAATATTAGGAATTATTAGTGATGGCGTTGACACCAGATTTTCCTATCTCGAATGGACTGCATATCTTTGATTCCGGACATTCCGGCTTTCTTTTCCCCTCGAGCATGGACGTATGTTTTGTTTAAATGCAAAAAAAAATACTTTGGTTAAGAGACAAACTTATTTTGCTCTTGCATAACGCGCTTTCTTATATTTTTATAGTACTTTTGATAGCTTTTAACTTGTAATATTAAGAATTAAGACAAATTCAGCCTTGTCTCTTAGTTTTTTCCAACAAGTATAGTTAACCTCTAAAGAGTTAACCTCTAAATGATTTTTTTTCTAGTTTTTTTGAAAATTTTTATTCTAAGAAAAAAATATGTGTTTAACACATAATCATCAGATGTAAAATATGATATTAATTTTCACGGTCTTCTAAAGGTTATGGGAATAATTTAAAATATATTAATCGCTACTGCAGGAAAATACTGAAGGATGCACGAATGAATCGGAATCTGACCAGGACTGTCCAGAAATTTCTAATATTCCCTGGTTGGAGAGACCGAAAGAATGGACTTACACAATGAGAAGACACATGCAGGTAATTATGTCAAGTTGAGGCAGTATACAGAATATTTACAAAATGTTTCATTAAACTTCACCAACAAGTCTGTTAATTCTATTGATGAACAAATGTCATACATATAAATGTCGATCTACAAGTCTACTTTTTTTTAGTTATAAAACTTTGAAGTTTAAATAAAAAATGAGTATGCATGTATTTTCTTGTTCATTTTTACAAAAAAATATATGTCTTTAATTTATTATATAAAATATGTATATTTAATATATATAATATATCATTAATTTAATGTAATAACTGTATCTACTGTGCATTACAGGAGGTGGTGCCTGGTGTGTTTCTTGGTCCATACAGTGCTGCCAGTCGCTCTAAAATGCAATCTTTGCTTGAACATGGAATAACACATATAGTTTGTGTTAGGCATGCTATTGAGGCGAACCTTATAAGGCCAAACTTTCCGAACACCTTCAAGTATGTGGTCTTAATAGATTGTCAATAGTCGCTTAACAAAAAAAAGAATGGTTCTGAAAACTTAAGTTCTAATTTCTGATTTTTTAAATACTATTTTTATGATATTTTTAATTGTTGATTTTATCATAAGTCTTTCTTATATTATTCTAATTTTACTATTAGCATCATATTTTTATAATGATATGTCAGGATTTAATTACTTGTCAATCAATGTTCTTCAAATTTTTCTTCAAATTTTATGATTTATATGTACCTAATTATACTTCGCATACTTATATATTTTATATAGATACCTAGTCTTGGAGATAGCCGATACAATAATGGAAAATATCATTCAACATTTCAAAAAGGTGAAGGCATTCATTGATGAAGCCTTGAGTTCGAACGGCCGTGTCCTGGTTCATGGAAATGCTGGTATATCGAGATCCGCTGCATTGGTCTTAGCATATGTTATGCAAACATATGAAGTTTCACAAATGTAAGACTTTTCCTTTCCATAAAACAACTTTTATATATCGTTATATATACATATATATTATACAAAATTCTGTAATTACATTTCTATTTACTGAATTACAATATCGAAAAATCTTTATACAAGCGTATATTTATTTTAGGCGCGCATACTCTATAGTGCAGCAAAGAAGATTCTGTATAAATCCGAACGAAGGTTTTATGAACCAACTAAGAGAATATGAGCCCATATACCAGGCGGAGAAAACGCTGAGAAATGATCAACATTATTTGGAAGTTCAACGTAGCAAGCGAACAATTCATCAGATTGAAATGGATAATCGATCGCAAGATAGGGCCGAGAACATAATGAATAGTTGGTGATAATTTATAGAAAATGAGAAGAAGAGTTGAAGTTACCAATCATCTCTCCTCCTCATATTAGATCGGATAAATAAAATTATTTTCCTTTTTTTTTAGCTGAGTTCTCTGCACTTTCCTCTTCAATTCTCATTTTCATTTTATTTCTCCTATTCTTTCGTCGTTTTAATTAAATGAAAATATATGCATAGTACGGCGAAAAAAGACAAACTTAGCTAAATCTTAACATCACTGTTAATAGTATTTTAGCAACGACTGACGTTTAACTCGATTAAAATTAATGGATTAGATTAATTTTACTATTCATTAATTTTGAAAACTTCTACTTGATTTTTCGTTTTATAACTATTTTAAGATAATAAAATAGTTTAAAATTGTCAAAGCAATACATCTGACAAAAGAAAATACTTAATAAAATATGAATAAAAGATACTCACGGATTTCCGTATTGTTTCACGCATTTTTTATTTATCCATATCTATATCCATATTTTATAATTATTAAAACCAGGATATTTAAAAAGTATACAAATATGTAGCTATACTAACAACTTTTTATATTTTTATTTCATTGTTATTTATTTTTCTTATCGATGTTTTAGTAATAGGTATTTGAAATTACTTTATCTAGAAAATGGCACATTTATAAAAATACAATCTTTAATATTGTTCTCTATTTCGCAATTGTTGAAAAAATATCTTTCGAATCACTTGACTTTGGCTGGAAATTCTATGCATACTATTTTTTCGTCTTTTTCACTCACAAACTCCCACTTAATAGAAACGCTCACCTAGAAAATAATAACAAATTTTTAATTGCATGTATAATTTAATAATAATTTTATTGCATATAAGACATTTTTAACGGCTACGTCATTGAAAAGATATAAATTAAAAATTCCATTCAAATTATATCCTAATACGAATAAAATCTAAATAAACTTGAATCTAAAAAAACCGAAATATATATAAAAATTAAATATAAATTATTTACCGAAGGAAACTTCTTCTGCACAAACATCGTAGTCGTGTAATGATATTCTTGATCCTTGTGTAAAGGACATTCGATCCCATCATCAGGATCCTTGCATGCGTCAGGCTTGTTTAATGGAAAAGGTACCGGAACGTCGATTAGTACGCCGTATACACGTACATTCATTTGCGAGATATCATTGTCTGCAAAAAAAATACAAAAAATAGACATCGTAATTATATAAAATGATCAGTGCTAATAAAAATATTGATAAATAATATTATAGATTTTAATAAGTAATTTAAGCATTCAAATATTTTTAATATTAAAATCGAATTTTCACATAAATTGTATGTTTTAGACACAATTTTCATACTCACTAGGCGTGAATTTGATAGATATAGATGCGTTGGTACCGCGCACCAAGGCACATCTTTCATCAGACGTGCTGCACCCCGAAACCGATACCTCCGTGAATTTGCCTAACGTTGAACCTAAAATGAGATGGAATAAATATGAATAATTATGTTAAATCCCAAATATATTGAATCAAATAAACTTGAATGTATTAAACACGTATATTAGAATAACAGGTAACATAGAAAAATGTTATTATATGTCTATTAAATAATTTAGAAAGCAGATTGTCCTTAATTTTGCAATAATTGGACAAAATTGTGTTCAATTTTATTTGTAAAATTTTCATAGAAAATAATTAAAATATAATTAATAATTTTTTAGTTATTTTTTTATAATTATAGTAAAGACTGTTTTAAAAAAAGGTATATTAGTATTAAAATATTTAGATAATAAAATTTCAAGAATTAAAATTATATTTATTAATAAAATTTCATAAAAATTTATAATTTCTAATGGATAAGTTCCTTATATGTAGAAAAAATTTGTTATTGTTAAATAATAATACTTGGTCGAATCGATGACACTAGCGGCAATACATTTTGTACTTTGTCCTATATGTTTTTGTTATGCACTATTATCTCTGATAACTCAATTCTTATATAAAGTAGCTTAATTAAGCTTAAAAGGTGCATTTCTTTCTTTAATACGCTATAAAAATATGCGTCGTATACATTTCCTCATTCGAAATGCACGTATTACGAATTGATAACGTAATCAGACTTTCAGAATGGAGTACAAACACAACGCGATACGCAGCTTAATCAAGGAAAATAATATTTAATAAAAATTGATTGAATATTAATAATAAGAGATTTCTTTTTTTTTAATAGAAAATTAGTTATCGCATTTATATTTCCCTTTAAAATAAAAAAATGTATAATGTATAATAAATATAAAATTAAAATAATAAAAAGTAAACGGAACGGATTAAGCAACTAAAGGGAAAAACACATTATAATGTATTTTTAGTTTGAAATTGGAATAACAATGACTGTGAATCATGGCTATTTTTCCGCGATCGTGACATTTATTTAAAAACAGTGTGGATGTAAAACGATTATGCGTTTATCGTGACAGACATCCTTTCATATCGTAAAGAAAAGCTTGCCTTCTAGATCATATATCTATATCATATCACATATTGTTGAAACCTGAACTCGTTGAAATTAGATCTACTTGGTACTTAAACACATACATAGAGATTACACCTTCCTGCGTACTATCTACGACAGACGCTTAATAATTTATAGCTTTGAAGCCAAACAAAAAAAAAGATAAATTTTAGTGTTATACTTATTGTGAAAGAGAAGTGGACTTTTCCTTGTAATTTTTAAAAATAGTTCCAATTGCGGCATTCTGGATGGAACATTTGTAATTTTCAACGGTAACGTGATAAATAATTCTTTAAAAATTCGGCACTCTTTTAGCAATTTATTATCATAATTATCACCTATTAATTATCATCACGGGTTACAATTTTACGATGATTAATTAATTTAATTTTGTACATACTTGTTATAATTATAATTTCATAATTATAATTTCAATCTTCCTATCAAAATTTTAAACTTTTAAACGCGTGGCGAGCCAAAAACACATCTCTTCATCTAACGTAATTGTTGTTATCAACATTGCATTATTTTTCATTGCAAAATAATTTTCTGCCAGATCTATAAGGATAATAAAATACACACTCACCGCAATCAGCGAACTTAAAGGCGAGACAGGACGCGGAACAACACAGCACGTAGAAAAGTGCGAACGCGATAATCGTCACCCGGTTCATATTGCTGTTACTCATACGGCTTCCACGTAGCTATTAACGACCGCTTGGCGCTTGCTGCCGCTGCAGGCCTGCAGTTGTCTCAAAACATGCATCCCCATTCCCCGACCTCGACATCTAATATAAGAGAGCGCCTCCAATCGGTTAATTCTCGTTGCCGAGGTACCGATCGAGTTAACCGAAAGTTGAGTTATACATCTTTTAATTTCTTTTTTTTTAACACTTGAAATCTGCTTTTTTCATCGTCGAAGCTTTTTTATTTTATAATACTTTTTACTTTCCAGTATTTTATATAATAATATTTTGGGGAACAGATTTTTTTAAATAAAGAAACATAGAAAATTACGTGTCTAAATGAAGATAATAACAATTACCTTTATTTAGACACGTTAAAATGATATATATATGTTAATAAAATTAAAAATATTTTCCTTGTGTATTTCGGAGTATAAATCATCGACAGAAAAATGGTTCCTGCATTGTATTTCGCAGTAATAAAAGTAGAAAATATATAAAAATAGAAATCATCATGATACTTTTATCTTTGCGATAGATATGCTAAGCAACATATATGCAAAGTAACTAACTTAAATATTTTAAAATTAGAAGACAGTATTTTAAAAAATATCGCTAGAATATCAACAAAAATGCAAAAGTCAGAAATTTTTTTACTGTTTATTATTTCCACAATTTTAATTAGTGAAGTTTACGTCGACATGCATTAAAAATGCGGCAATATCCATTGTTTAAAAACTAACGTAGGTACATGTTCACGTGTTCGCGTATAACGTGTTCCTTAAACGCAATAATTTGTCATAACTCATATAATCATTTCAAAAATGCCATAGCTGATATTCCTATACAACCTTAGCTGGGAATTTTAAGCATATAAGCTTCTCGTCATTCTCGTTTTTAAATTCCCACAGAACATCCACGCTCAACTAAAAACACAGAATCGATTTAATGACAGAATAATTAAAATTTAAAATACAGTCAAACCTCGATAACTCGAAAACCACTCGAATTTTTTCCTTTAAAAGCCATTATAATCAAAAAATTATAAACTCTTATACTTCTATAAATTGAATTTTCATGTCAATTCTCTTTTATTCAAACTTTGATAAGTCGAAACATTTATAACTCGAAGATTTTTATAACTTCTCCCTTAAAATTTGAGTTATCGATATTCGACTGTATATATATTATTTATAAAAAAAAAATTTTAAACAAAAAGCTTATAAAAACCATATACGTATATATAATGCAAAGTTTAAAAGATGTAGATTAAATGTAGATTTAATAATGTAATTTAAAAAAAAAGAAAAGAAACAGATTGTGATTCAAAACGAAATTACCGCGGGAGTCGCCTTATCCAAAGTGAACGAAGCTTTGTATTCAGCCTCCTGATCTTTCTTTAAAGGACAATTGAGCCCCGAATCCGGATCTTTGCACACATCAGGTTTTTTCAGAGGAAAGGGTACAGGCACGTCCAATAAAACACCATAAGCATACGCTGTGACGTCCGTAATGTCTTTGCCTGTAAAAATATATGCATATGTTAATATATTTCTAATCGATATTTTATAAGTAAAAAATTATTATACCATCGTAAAATTTCAATTAAAAATTCTGAAAAAGATAGAATTCTGGGAATCAGTAATCATATATCTATATACTATATATATATCAATAACTATTTCTCTCAGGAATTTTTGTTTTTACTAAAGTTAAAAAGATATTAAAGTATAATTATTTTACTAACTTGGTGTAAATTTGGCAGATACGCGTATTTCATTGCCACGAGTCAAAATGCATTTGTCTTCAGACGTATCGCAGTTTGAAATTACGATTTCACCCAATTTGCCCACCTCCGAACCTAAAGATTTAAAACAGTAATTAAGCGTAATTAAGTATATGTACATTATGTATCACAAATAAATCAAGCAAATAATTTATATTAAAGACAAACTTAATTAGATGAGAATTATAAATGTTTATCCAAAACATGAATTTATAATTTATAAATTGAATTACAATAAATGACAAACTTTAATTAATCACACAAACGCATCGTGAACGCGCTCTTTTTATATTGCTGTAAGTACATCTCATAGTAATAGAAAGTTACGTGTAATCTGCAATGTAATTATATATAATCAGACGAGCATCCAAAGCATACATAATTAAATAGCTTAACGTGTAATGTTGCTAATAGCTTCCGGCATTACATTACATTCTTGATTAAGGACTCTCCGCCGTGTAAACATTCTCCTTCTTAATTAATAATTAATGGTAAAGGCCATTGATAATATTAGTCTGCAAAAATTTGCAGATGTAATGAGTTTAGGTGATTTTTATTAATTTTTGTTTGCTCGTTTCTTGTCTCTTTTACGTCATTTTTCTCAAAATTAAAACGCGATAATCAAATTTGGAAAATGGATTCATGTTCAGCAGGCAAAAATTAATAAAAATCATTACATCTGTAATGTAATCTACATAACATCCGCAAAAGAAACGTCGATTTTCGCAGGCTAGTTAGTTCGTGCTATTAACAACAAAAATCTTTGAACAATTTTACAATTTCTTATATCGCCATTAGTCAAATTTGATTATTATTGCATTTAGTATATTTCTTCGAAATTAATTTTAATAATTAAATTTTTTTAAGTGTAAACAATTCTTCGCTTTAAAGAATAATTTTGGAATCGAATTTTTTGCTTTACATGAAATAATTTTGAGTATTAACAATAGTTTTTATCAATGATTTATAACAAAAATTAAAGAGGACCAATATAATCAATTAAATATATAAAATATTTTTTAATATTCTCTGTACTTGATATAATCTATAGCTATAAATACATCGAGAAGATTATTAATTAAATTTTCTACAATTTTCGAACGTCTCATACATATATGTTAATCATTACATGTTTTCAAATATATTTATAAGTAAAAAATACATATTTTATATATTTATGTATCAGCGTTATAAAATTTCTTCATATGTTATAGACAATGCAAATTGCCACATTGAATAATAAACTAATGACTTTCATTAGTCCTGTTTATTTTAATTAATATAATTAACTAATTAATATATTAAATTAATAATATATACTCTTATTGAAGAAGTAAGACATCCTACTTCCCTAACATCCCTAGGGAAAAGTTTTTCAAAATTATTAGAAAGTATACTTACCGCAGTCCTCAAACTTGAAGGCAAAAGAGAACGTTATGCTGCACAGAACACATAATAGCGGAAAAGCGACACTGATCCGCGTCATGTTGTTTCCACGATTTTCACGCAAACATCAATGATGTCGCGTGCGATTCTCGCTTCAATTTATATAAACGTATCATTGCTTATCTAACACAAAAACGTAATTTATCTCATTACGTTAATGATAGACTATTATTATTGCAAATGGTTTTATAAACCGCAATTATCTCGAAATCCGGTTTAATAGGACTTTATAATTTCTCATTCATATGTGTTAAGAAATATAAAAGTATATTGACAAAAGACAACTTAAAAAAATAAAATATTTAATTAAAGTATATTGAGTTTTAGGATTCGATGTAGCAAAAGCAAAATAATGTATGAATTTAATTTATTCCAAAACGTTTGTACGCGTTCGTTCACCGGTCGAATCCTTGACTTCTCGTTATTCTCGAAATCGGTTATCTGCTATTCTATTTTGTTCGTGATTTTATTCTTAGAAATCAAAATTTTCTATCTGAATTTATCATTGCCCTTAATATACATGTTTGAAAATTGTTGTTCGAATTTTGCAACGAAAAGTTTAAATAAAAAAAATGTATCGTTGTCTGAAATTTATAATTTATATTTAATACAATACATATACGCATATATAATAAATAATAACCATTAGGAAAAAAAAATATCACAGGATATTCTGCAGCTCCAAAACTTATACAGAAAAGAATTAAGTTAAATGCCTGTTGCATTCATTTAAATCAATATGAATATCCATATAACGCCCGTTAGTGTATATTGTGTATAACTGTGTATCACGAATGAGCTATATATGAGCGTGTAATTCATAAAAATCTGATAACAATTGTCGCAAATGCACGTTCAACTTCAAGAGTCGATATAATCATTTTATTGGCTGGAATTCGAAGATCACTTAAGATTCAATTTAAGACGATCAATTTTAAATACAAGATTAAATTACGTTATCTGGGTATGAATATCGTCTTACAAATTTTTACATTATTTTTATTATTTATTATTAAGATAAATAATAAAAAAATGCAAATAAGAAAAAAAAATAAAAAAAATAAAAAAATAAATAAATAATTTTATTTTTTATTTTTTTTATTTTTATTTCTTTGTGTCGTTTTTATATCATTTTTAGTAAAATATATATTAAGAAGAAGTTTTATAATAAAAATGTTTAGTAAAACTTATCTGAAATAATCTTGAAGTCATCCAAGAGAAAAAAAATTTATATGTATATATACATATATATATAAATTTGTTTATGTATATATCATGTATAGATTAATTTTGTGAGAGAAAAAGAAAGAAAGCTCCCTCTTTGAAAAATGATTAGGCTGTCCGAAGCGTTCGTAATTAAATGATTGTTTAAAAATTATAGAAAATTGTTAACTTATTCAAATTTAACTGAATTTAACTACAAATATTTTTCAATATTTGCACAGATAAATAGTTAAACTTTAATGTTGCATTATAAGCTAATTGTACAAGTTTATGTTTGCAGTTGAAGAATGATGTTTATATCTTTTAATTATTCTCAAATTTAATGCATTTAACAGTTATTAAAATTTATTTAAACAAATTTATTTAAAATTAATATTATTAAAGATATTTTAACTTCAACATGAATAATTTATACTTTGTATAATAAACTTAACTATAATATTAGTCTTAAAATGTACTTATTCTTAGATTATAGTTTAATAGATTTTTTAAAAACACGTATAAAGTCTTCAGACAAACGCTTATTTAAATTTTTTTTAACTGTAGTTCTTGTAGTTCTTTTTTTAGTTCTCCTTCAAAAATTTATCAGAAAAATATGAAATTGGTATTTTTTATCATGCTTTATCTTAAAA